TATATTTGTGGCAAGACTAAGCCACCTGCTGCATTAGAAGAGGGTTATGACAAGTGGTATGCTGAAAATCAGAAAGTGAAACGGTGGCTATTAATGTCCATGACTCCAGAAATTATGAAGTGTTATTTACGCTTACCCACTGCCCACGAAATATGAAGTGCTCTATTAAAGGCCTTTTATGATATGAATGATGAGTTGCAAGTTTTTGCCTTGAACCAAAAGGCCTTCACTGCCAAACAAAATGGGAAATCTCTATCTGAATATTATGGAGAGCTAACTGAGGTTTTCCGCAAAATGGACCATCGAGATAAAGTGGTTATTAAAGATCTGGATGACATTAAAGTATATCGGAAGTCTATCGAGCGACTAAGGGTTCACATCTTTCTTGCTGGATTAGATGGTGATTTTGAACAAGTTCGTGGAGAAATTCTACGCAACGATCCAGTTCCAGATTTGGAAGGTTGTACTCTTTGGTTCGACGAGAAGCAGTACGTCGTGCAACTCTGAAAGGGGAGTCCGAAAACTCTGAAGCTTCAGTCATAATGGTTCGCAACAGATCGAAGCAAAACTGGCAAGACCGTACTAAACCCAATCAATCTAAAGTCACCAATAATGCAGACAAGTTTACCTACAAATGCACCCATTGCAATCAGACTGTTCATACCAAAAGTTGTTGTTTCGAACTTGTGGGATATCCGGAATGGTGGGATCATAGCCATTGGAAGAAGAATTCGACAAAGACTTCCACTGCAGCAGTTGTTAAAACCGAGAATGATGGTGCTGAAAAGGCCTTAGGATTGGTAGTAACGGGAGATAATGGTGGTAAGTTTTTAAATATTTCTACACCTGTTATTAATAGTGTATGGATAATTGATTCTAGTGCTACCGATCATATGACATTTGATTCTAGACAGGTATCACCACTTACTTCCTCCTCACAACAATTTGTTTCTACTGCCAATAGTACTTCGACCCCGGTTATTGGGGAAGGATCTTTGATACTCCCTGATAATTTGTATTTAGATTCTGTTTTAGTTGTTCCATCCTTAGCTTATAATCTTTTGTCAGTTTCCCAAATAACCATAGCTTTATCTTTTGTTGTAATTTTTTGGCCTGATTTTTGTGTGTTTAAGGACATTAAAACAAAGTAGATGATTGGTTGTGGTATTAGGCGAGGGAAGCTGTATTACTTGGACTTGATGTCAAAAAGTTCCGACAAGTTACGACAAGCATTGACAGTGGATAGTTCTGAGGGGGAGAAAAAGAAATATGAAATCTGGCTGTGGCATCGACGTCTGGGGCATGCTTCCTTTGGTTATCTGAAAAAATTATTTCCTAGTTTATTTGAAAATTTTGTTGGTTCTAGTTTCTACTGTGATGTTTATGAACTAGTAAAGAGCCATCGTGCTTTGTTTCCATTATGTTTGAATAAAAGTCCACTTCTTTTTATGGTTATACATTCTGATGTTTGGGGTCCATCCAAAGTCACTACTTTAGGTGGATTACGTTGGTTTGTTACTTTTATTGATGACTGTACCAGGATGACCTGGCTGCTTGATGAAATCCAAAAGTGAAGTGAACTTATTGTTTCAAAAGTTCCATAAAATGATTGAAACTCACTACAATGCACATGTTCAGGTTCTCCGTAGTGACAATGGTGGAGAATATTAGAGTTTTGATCTTCAACAATATTTGGAAGTACATGGAACTATTCATCAAACCACTTGTTCTAATACACCCCAGCAAAATGGGGTTGCAGAGCGAAAAAATCGTCACTTATTAGAGGTTGTTCGTGCTTCATTGATAGAAGCTCATATGCTATTATCGTATTGGGGAGAAGTACTTACCTCTGCAGCATATCTAATCAATCGAGTACCTTCCAGCTCTATTGACTTCCAGACACCATTATAGGCTCTCATTGACACAGTTGTTGCCCCATCCGTCCTAAATCTACCTCCTCATGTCTTTGGTTGTGTAGCATTTGTACACCTTTATAAGCATCAACGCAACAAGCTAACTCCTCGAGCATTGCGATGTGTATTTCTCGGATATGCTACTCATAAAAAGGGGTATCGTTGTTATCATCATCTAACTCAACGAATGTTTATCACCATGGATGTTGTATTCCATGAAGACTCGATGTATTTTTCATCTGCGTCTGAACTTCAGAGGGAGTACCAGAAATAAATTCAGACTCTTAATTATGATTGTCACACTTTTGAGGACGGTGATTCTAGTGGTGATGACTCAAAAGTTGGACTAGCCAATCAGGAATCGGGCGAATTGGATTCAAGTGGTATAAGTTTGGATCAAAGTGGTGATGCACGCCCAGAAATGGAAAGTATGGCGACAACCCCACCGTCGTCCGAGTTTGAGTCCCTTGCAACTGATATACCAAACCAATCGCCTGCTGAGGATGTTCCTGATTTAGTGCCTGAGCCACTCAGAAAACAATTACCACAGTGTCACATTAGAGGTATTCCTAAACTTACATATGAACCCGAACTTTCTAGTAAAATTAAGTATCCTATGAGTCATTATGTGTCGAACCATCGTTTGTCAGAATCAAATTTGTCATTTGTAAATTAATTATCTTCTGTATCTATTCCTAACAGTGTGCACGAAGCCTTAGCTGACCCTAGGTGGAAAGCAGCTATGAAAGAGGAAATGAAATCCTTACAGAAAAATACAACTTGGGAACCCATTGATCTTCCACTAGGAAAGAAACCAGTATGATGTCGATAGATTTACACTGTGAAGTATAAAGCCGATGGCACAGTTGAACGCTTAAAAGCAAGATTGGTGGCAAAAGGTTACACCCAAACCTATGGAATCAATTATACAGGGGCGTTCGCACCTGTAGCTAAAATCAACACAGTTCGGGTCTTGTTGTCTTTAGTTGCGAACTTGGATTAGCCATTACAACAATTCGATGTAAAGAATGCCTTTCTGCATGGTGAATTATCTGAAGAAGTCTACATGGATCTCCCACCAGGATGTATGATACCCGAAAAGTATACTCGGAAGGTCTGCAGGTTAAAAAAATCATTATATGGGTTGAAACAATCTCCGAGAGCATGGTTTGGAAGATTCACAAAGTCAATGATATCCTTTGGCTACCGTCAGAGCAATTCAGACCACACTTTATTCCTGAAGAAACAACAGGGTAAGATCACTGCACTCATTGTCTATGTAGATGACATGGTGGTTACAGGAAATGATCTTGAAGAAATGAAGGCTCTCAAGAAGTACTTGTCCAGAGAATTCGAAATGAAAGATCTAGGTCCTTTGAGATATTTTCTTGGGATCGAAGTATCTCGATCTAATAAATGAATCTTTCTATCTCAGAGAAAATATGCCTTAGATCTGTTACAAGAGACTGGCATGACAACATGCCAACCAGCTGAGACACCAGTGGAAGAAGGACTGAAGTTATGTGTTGAGTCCAACCAAGTACCTGCCAATAAAGGAAGATACCAAAGATTTGTAGGGAGATTGATGTACTTAGCACACACGAGACCAGATCTGGTTTATGCATTCAGCATTGTTAGCTAGTTTATGCATGATCCTGGAGAGCAACATATGAATGTAGTTATGCGCATTTTGAGTTATCTGAAATCTGCTCCTGGAAAAGGAATTTTGTTCACTAAAAATGTTGGTTATCAAAACATAGACGCATATACTGATGCTGACTGGGCTGGAGCTATAGATGATAGGCGATTTACTTTTGGTTACTTCACTTTTGTAGGAGGTAATCTTGTTACATAGAGAAGCAAGAAACAAAATGTTGTTGCTTGCTCGAGTATAGAAGTTGAATTCAGAGGTATGGCGCTTAGACTTTGTGAAACTTTGTGGTCAAGACTTCTCTTGTAGGATTTGGGTCATCTACCTAGGCAACTGATTCAACTTTATTGTGAGAATAAAGCAGCATGTGATATTGCCCATAATCCGGTTCAACATGATCGTACAAAGCATGTCGAAATAGGCAGATTCTTTATTAAAGAGAAGTTGGATGAAAAAATTGTGGAGTTGCCTAAGATTCGATCTGAGGATCAACTAGCCGACATTCTTACCAAAGCAGTCTCAAATCAAGTGTTTTCAAAATTTTTAGACAAGTTGGGCTTGTGTGACATTTATGCACCAACTTAAGGGGGAGTGTTGAGATTTTATTTTTTTGTAATCCGAGATTATACAGATTGTACAGCTGTAGGATTGCATTATTTTCTCCTTGATTTAGGACTAATTGGTAGGTAATTAGTTTCCCATTTATTGTATATTTAGTTATCTATTTTAGTTAGGTATTACTCTATAAATTGAATGTAATACCATTGTGAATGATATATCAAATAGAGTTTTTATCATATTATTTCTCTGAATTTGAAGAAAAACTGTTTTTTTTCCTTACCACTCATAAAATAAAATAATTCCTTTATTTTTCTTTTCAATATTTTTTAATTAACATCAAAGTTTCCCAGTATATTATTTTTATTTTTTCATTTTCACACACCACTTATATATTTATTTTGTCTCTTGAGAATTCAAACTCTCACTATCTATTTTAAGAGATAAAATTTAAGTCACACAATCTTTCTCAATAGGTGTTACTCTCACGTTCCGAAGACGTTCTCGTTCTCAGGCTCCGCACGTAGTCTTGCTCAAATTCTCATTATTTATGACATAATTTTACCGCTCTCACGCTCCCGATCTCGAATTCGCTTTCGGGGTAGAAGAGATAATATTAGGCCACAAAACCCTCACTGTATTTACTTCTTTCCCCTCTGTTTCTCTCTCTGGTGTTTTTTTTTATTTATTATTATTTATTATTATTTTTTTTAATCTAAAAACATAAATAAATAAATAATACTCCGTAGCAGACTTAATCGTATCACCTAATCGGGCTAATTCTATAAAGCAAGAGGATGGATTTAGTTGACTTGATAAACGACATCGTTTAGCTTCATCTCCCCACTTTTCAATCTTCTTAAACCCCTCTTCAGTTTAGTTGCTTATTTTGGCTGCCGCTTACATGAAGTAAATTTCTTACTCGCATAGTTGGGTTGAATAGACCTAGAAAGCATAAAAAAAACACAGAGAGAGAGCAAAGAAATCAACAATGTTGATTCTTAAACCCCTCTCTCTTCGATCTTCAACGAGGTATGTTCCTTCTATCTTCCTCTATTTTGATCTTCAAAACCCATGTTCATTTCACTCTCGATCATTTGATCCCTCTGAAAATTCCGCCTTAGACGACGATGTCGAAACCGTATTTCGAATCATCAGTTCGTCTTCGTCCTCGAACGACTTGAAACAATCATTGAAATCAACCAAAGTGTTGCTATCGAACGACTTGATCGATAGAGTTCTGAAAAGGGTCAGATTCAGTCATGCAAACCCATTACAAGCATTGGAGTTCTTCAATTACACCGCCAATCGTAGAGGGTTTTATCACACCTCATTTTCATTAGATACAATGCTTTATATCTTAGGTCGAAACCGTAAATTTGATAAAATTTGGGATGTTTTGATTGAAACGAAGAAAAAAGACCAATCTTTGATATCACCACGCACTGTTCAAGTAGTTTTAGCTAGAATTGCTAAGGCTTGTTCAGTTAGGCAGACCGTTGATTCATTTAAAATGTTCAGGAAGTTTGTTCCAGAATACGGTATCAATTGTTTCAATGCCTTGTTGAGGACTTTGTGTCAGGAGAAGAGTATGACAGATGCTAGGAATGTGTATCATAGTTTGAAACACCAGTTTCAGCCGAATTTACGGACTTTTAACATACTGTTGTCGGGTTGGAAGTCGCCAGAGGAAGCTGAAGTGTTCTTTGAGGAGATGAGGCAAATGGGTGTCAAACCTGATCTTGTGTCTTACAATTGTTTGATTGATGTGTACTGTAAGGGTAGAGACATTGAAAAGGCCTACAAGATAGTCGAAAAAATGAGAGAAGAGGATATATCACCTGATGTGATATCATATACTAGTATAATTGGGGGGTTGGGGTTGGTTGGTCAGCCTGATAAAGCGAGAGATGTTTTGAAGGAAATGAGGGAATATGGATGTTATCCGGATGTTGCAGCATACAACGCTGCAATTAGGAACTTCTGCATTGCGAAGAGGCTTGGTGATGCTTACATGTTGATGGAGGAGATGGTGGTTAAGGGTTTAAATCCGAATGCAACAACTTACAATGTGATCTTTAGGTCTTTCTTTTGGTCGAATGATTTGAGAAGTTCTTGGAGTTTGTATCAGAGGATGAAGGATACTGGGTGCTTGCCGAACACACAGTCTTGTATGTTTTTAATCAGGTTGTTCAGTAGGAATGAGAAGGTGGAGATGGCACTTGAGCTTTGGAGTGACATGGTGGAGAAGGGCTTTGGGTCCTATATTTTGGTGTCTGATGTGTTGTTTGATTTGCTTTGTGATATGGGGAAGTTGATGGAAGCAGAGAAGTGTTTCTTGCAGATGGTAGAGAAAGGGCATAAGCCCAGCAATGTTTCATTTAGAAGGATCAAGGTGCTGATGGAATTGGCTAATAAGCATGAGGCCCTGCAGAATTTATCAGAGAAGATGGTTGCCTTCGGTTCATCAATCCAAAAACCCAAAAGCAAGGAGGGTCTAGCAGAGATGTCGAGCTCGAACTCATTTACATGTTAAATTAGATGGTTGTAACTTAAAGTGGGCTGAGAAGGTGTTGTTAACCACTGGCATATCAAAATTTTTGGGATTGATGTCGAAAAAAATACCCTATAAATGTATTGTTTCACACTAGAAGGGGAGCATGCCATATGAAAGGGTTGAGAGTCAGGCATCTGGGATTTCAGTTATCTTTTTGTTCAACGTATAGCCGAGCTGGTTTGATTCATGACCTTGATTCTGTGCAACTTTGAGTTAGTATTATGTGTGTGAATATTCTCATATTTCAAGTACAATGCTCCTCTTCCTGGACTAGTTTATTGCTGACTTCAGAGAGCACATTTGAGGATTGGGTGAAGAAAAAGAAGGATGAATAAGTTGGATGAATGAAATTGAGGATGTTTGATCCGTCAAAGAAATAAAAACTGAAAAAGCAACACGAGTTCAACACTGCAAGAAAAATGCATTTGAATTGGTTGAACAGGATAAAATTTTGTTGAAAACTAATGAAGGTCAACCCTCATGTAATTTATTCCTTGATTTACTGTAAGGAAATTGCTGCTCTTATAATTATTACTGTTTATTCAATCATTCTTGAAGGTCAACCCTCATGTGTATGTTTTTGCGAGTGTGGGGTACTGTATCACTCTCATGAAAACCTAATTAAGAGAAAATTTATTGAATGAACTCTAAAAGAGATTATATCTGAATGCCACATATATTAATCTTTATTTTTTGCCATCTCATTTTTTTCTTCTCTGGTCTTAGCTTTGATTCAAATGTATTGTGTAAGTCTCTACGGAATTCATTGTGAATATTGGCTGATTGAGTCACAAAATTTTTGGTTTTTAGTAGCAGCTGCTGTGTTACAAGAGTAATTTAAAGATTATCGTATTTCCCCTTAACAGGTATAGTCTCCCTTAATGAAGCAAATGAAGGTTGTTTGCTTGAATATAACTTGAAAGTTGAGACAATAAACTTTATGATATCTTTTAAATTTAGATCCACACAGTTACGCTGCTAGAATAAACAATAATGATCCTTTCCTTTATTGTTGTCTTTCTCAATGGGAGTGCATTGAGATATCACACAACTCAACATCACCTCCTCTCTATTTTAACTGGTAGTTTTTGGGGCACATGCATTGGCTTTAATCAACTTTCATGTCCAGAATGGCTCTAAAATCTCATTCCTGCGGTTGCAAATTTGTGCCATTATAAATTATAAATTGATCAAATGTGTTTTTTTTCATAAAGAAGAGTTCAAATTTTCTCACAAAACCGGCATGAAATGCTTATCAGAGGTTTGGTTTGAGATTCAAAGACTTCATCTCTTCACTATGAAATTCATCCATGAAATCTTGATCTTTGTGAAAGTTCTTATAGGTTTGAGGAAAGGTTCTATGTAGGTTGTCTAATTAAACCGAACACATAATTGACATATGATTCCCACCTGTAACATGATTCGATCAGTGAATATTTCTAAAATTGAAAGTGGGAGTCAATGTTGATTTTGGAAATAATGTGTTATAGTCAGTCATTTTTGCAGTTGTTCTTTAAAGAGTGTCTGACAAATAATGTATTGTATTATTTGGCATTATTGAAAGGAATTTCTTGGATTGGGAGATACAGTTATAATATAAGATATTGTACTCACAGTTCTTTAGCTGAAAACTAAAGTCTAGTGATGTGATATATTATTCTGAAATGATCTATGTAAAAATGCCAGTTATTAAGCCACAAGGTATATGATGGACTCCGTTCTATTCTATTAGGGTGTCAAACAATTAATTATTTAATTTACAGGGATAAAAGATACTGCTCATTTTTATTTTATTTTATTTTATTTATATTTATTTTATTTTTTTGTAAATTCAATTGTAGACCTAGGAAGTTTTGTTGGGGGTTGGGTGTTAGTGTATCATTCTTCAGACTCTAATATGCAAGAGTTTTCCTGCCACTATTCAAATTGACATTGTCTGAAAATGAATCTTTCCGTGCTTAAGTTCCAAGTCTCTCTTTCTCTCTCTCTCTCTCTCTCTCTCTCTCTCTCTCTCTCTCTCTCTCTATCTATCTATCTATCTATATATATGTATGTATACTTCTTCCCCCCAACCCCCTCTGAATCTTTATATATCAAAATAATTCAGCATAGAGATGCTCTTTTGCATATTATTGTCTTAAATGACCTTAAGTTCTCATTGTTCTGCAGGTTTCAATCTAATATTGTTTTGAAGGAAATACACTCAATTGATGTTGATCCATCTTGCCCATATTAATTGGCATTTCATCTTCATGATGGTTGGTAAGTTAGGATTTCCTTTTCTTTTTCTTTCTTTTTTTTTTTTTTTAAAAAAAATATCTTGGTACTGCTTTCTAGGATGTTTAAGCCGCCTTTGATTCTTTTTATTGGTCTCTAAGTATCCTAAATCATCTATCTACTGCATCTGATATGCAATGTCTATCATTGTCAGTTTGTTGGTTTTGAATAGTCGCTTCATCTTATATTTGTTTGTTTAGAATCAAATAATGCTGAATAAGGCTTTCTTCAATTACCTGCTAGAAAGTGAATGTCCTCTAATTATTATCGTGATTTGAAGTTTTTCTGATACCTTGTGTTATAGGGAGTTAGTTTTTTCATCAACCGGTTTTTCAAATTGGATTTTAGTTTAAGAGACCTCGTACTCCATTTGAGGCTCCTTCTACAATCCTGATTGATGCTTATTATTCTGAAACTTGTCAGACCTGTGGTTTTCTTGCTGCAATAACATGATTCTCTTATAAAAGAACCACACACCAATATAGCTGGAGCTGGAATTTGAACTCTCAGAAAGGTCAAACATGTTCATCATGTGAAAGTTCATTTTCTTTAGATGAAAATTTGATAGTTTAGGATGAAATATTCTGTTTGCAAAAGTAGCATAAGAGCGTTAGCTCAACTAAAAGACACTCAACTCAACTCAACAAAGTTTTGTCTTTACTAAATGGAGCTGGCTACATGAATCATGTTCAGCAATTCTACTACCTAAGGCCATAATTTTGATTAAATCAGACACTATTTTTTCCTTTTTGTATAATCTTAATCCATGTTAATCTTGGCCACCATTCCTTAACATTACCCTCAATGTAATTCATTCCAATTTTCCTTAGGGGTCCATTTTTGTTAGATGGAAATTAATAGTGGAAAGTGAAAGTAAAAGAAGGTGAGGTGAAAGAAAGGAAAATATATTTTCCATCCTCTGTTTGATTACCATGAAATTTTTTCAAAAAAATATAAAAAATAAAAAATTACAATTTTATGGTTTGAATAGTATGAAACTTACCATAAAAAGAGAGGTACAATTGAAATGTCAAATATTTTCCTCATGAAAGCAAAATTTTCGTGTGTTTTTTTGTAGGATAATTTGTAGGAAAGTTAGGTGGTTATGGGAAGTTACTTTCCCAGAAAAATTTTCTTTTCCTGCTATCCAAACACTTAAAAAGTCTTAAAATTTTCCATTTCTTTCGTTTTATGCTATTTCCATCTAACCAAACTAAGCCTAATGGTAGGATTATGGTGTTTGTTGCATATAGCCAGATCGTGTTAGTTGTTTTTCTGTCATCCACATCAATGGTTTTAATTTTTTAATTCCCAATATCCCACAAACGTATTCACTTTTAATTTTATCCTGTTTGAGCTGTCTCATCATACATCCATGTCAATGGTTGCATTCTGACCATCCTTATGTGATATACGTGTTTCTTAGCCACTGTTTTGTGATAAGTGTAGTTTCTGGTGGTTATTCTGAACTTGATCTTTTTAATACCTGCGTCAACTTTCTGAAACCAAATTGAGTCTAGCTGATGTTCTCAAGCTTGACTTGTTGAACAATTCAGATTGAAGCTTAAGCTTCAGAATGCCTTGTGTGATCAGTGAATGAACTTGAACAATTCAAGTGATGCAGGATCTTCTTAGAACTGAGAATTGCAATTGAAATTAGGGTTAGGTTTGGGTATAAAATAGCTTATGGTGATTGGGAGCCTCTTTCATACACTTTGGGTGCTGCTAAATTCCCCATCATCAATCACAAAATCTTCGGGCAGTGTTTTGTGTGACGAAAGAAAACAAAATATTGTTAGCAAACTGAGATTAAGTAACTGCTAGGGATTTGATCCTGTGGCAAGGCACACGTTTGTTTACTGGATTTCTTTGTCTTATTGACATGAGCTCACGAAGAACCCTGGATATAGTTGACATAAATTGAGGACATAGGAAGAGATGCATTGGTAAATGCACTGTATTTTTTCATCTCTGCATCAATGTGTTTGGTTATAATCGTAATACTAAAATGTGCCTTGGGAATAAATGCAGATTCATTTAACCATGTCATTTGGAATTGAAATTTTACTAATTAGTCAATAATCTTTTTAGATCTTATATGTAATTGAATTAGCACTTGGACCTTGAAATAGTTGAGATTTGTATCATTTGTTGAATTTGAAGCTAAAGCCCAAAGACTCCTCCCCACCCCCTCCTTTTTTTTGTCAGTGACAAGAAAATACTAGGGGGGAAAACTAATTATTCTTTAACTTCACTTTACCAAAACCGCTTCATATGGTCCAGAACTTGTCAGTGACCTCTTCTGCTGCTATTGTTCTAGTCTATAATGAAACTCAAGTGTTATAGTGTCTGCATATTCCGTTAACAAAATAAAGGCTGTAACGGGCTGAACAAAATGTCCTTTCTTAGTCAGTTTTTCTCACTTGTCAAGGGAAAGTTGAATATACAAAGTGAAGATTGGGAGTTGAAGATTAACTACATTTAAGATTATTTCAACATGCTTCATGAAATCCTATGTTATATGGACTTAGGTATATTTATTGGGGGCAAGTGTGTGCCTAAATATTGGACCCCCTTGATTCCCAAATCTTGGGACACGGGGACTTAGGTTGAAATGTGTCCAAAAATTGGATATGACTACAAGGACGCGTTTTGAACATGTAAATACTAATATGTTATATAATATGATAATGTATGATGCTATATTCTTTAAACATATACTCAATAATAATTTTGATTTAATGAAATGTGGTGAATAGAAAGATTCTAATCTTAAAAGTAATCAAATTTGAGCTTTTCTTCTTCCACCATCACAGGTAGATGATCCGGGTGTCCGATTTGTGTTCATATGTTTAAAATGTTGGACATATATCCCATACCCATACTCATGTTCATGACTTCATGTCGTGTCGACGGAGGTACCTTGAGCAGAGGAGGATAGTCTATGTAATGTAGATAAGGTCCAATCGTGGCTAGGTAAAAGTAATTGAGAGCTTAGAGGATTTAGGATCTAGGTTGGTTAATGAAAGATAGTTGGATTATCTATAAACTAGGTTTTGAACTCAATCTTATTTATTATTTTTTCTTTTTGACAAGTAAAAATTCATTGAAAAGTGCTCAAAAGGGGGACACGGCTGGAACAACGGCACAAGAATTATAGCCACCTCAAGCTATCCACAAAGGACAAGAATCTCCATAGATTTTTACAATTGAAACCATGAACCCAAAAGAATAGAGAACTAAGCACAGAATATCTAAACACCCCACAAGGAGCATCCACCCCATCAAATGATATCCTATTCCTCTCCTTCCAAAGAGCCCACCACAAGCAAAGACTCAAAGAGGGGTTGTCTTCCACACATCTTTGACTTGGGGCTGCACCCGCCAACCATCCCAAGTTGCAATCAAGCTCACTGTAGACTCGGGCATGACCCACTGGATCCCAAAAATAGCACAAAGGAAATCCCAGCCCTCTCTCGCTTTGGGGCAGTGAATAAGGAGATGATCGGCCCACTTACACATGTAATTTCCAATTGATAATAATTTGACACGTCCTCTTTTGATTGACAGTGGTCAAAATCTTCACCAAAGCTGCTGTCCAACCAAAAAAAGCCACCTTCGGGAGGCCTTCGAGCGCCAAATACCTTTCAACGGAAGGGAAGTTCCCTGAGGATTCATCAATTGACAATAGAAAGAGTGGACCTCAAATATCCCGTGGCTGGTAACTGCCCAAATCAACTCATCCATCCCCTCACCTAGATTTAGACTTACGGCAAATCAGGGCCAAAAACTCAATCATCTCTTCCACCTCCCAATCCTGCAAGAAACTCTAGTATTGTACCTCCCAAGATAGTCTCCCGCCATCAAGGTGATAGCAATGATCGGCCTAACGACTAGCGAGGCCCCATCCCTCACCCTGAAGCAAATATGCTTGGAGAATTCATCCCAACTCTTCCGGATGCTCTTCCACAAGTCAACTCCCACCAGGTGCTGTGAAATAAAGCAAAAAATAAGGAAAAACATATCAAACACACACAACAAGAACACATAGATTTTTACTTGGTTCACCCAAAAACTAGGCTATGTCCAAAGGTTGCAAGGATTTTACTATGTTAAAAAACTGCACAAGATACAGAGTCCGAGAATTCAGAATGAATAAATACTCTCGCTCTAGGGCGACATAACAAGTGCGAAAAATACCGAAATGTCCTCCAAAGTTGGATCCGCGAAGTTAGGCCTTAGTGTAAAGTATTAAACAGGCTCCACACAACCCATCACCGGGGACCTCAACACCAACAAGCACAACCTACCTCTATCCTCACCATATCTACCGCAGATGGACCTCCTCTATAGCCTATGCCTCTCCACCCCATAACCCCACAACCATTTGCCTAACAAAGCTTTGTTGAACAAGTCCAATCTTCGCACACTCGGTCCCCTCGGTTGAATGGGTACAGATTTGCTTCCAACCCACAAGGTAGTATCTGAACTCATCTCCCATGTCTCTCCACAAGAAATTCCTCTTTGACCTCCCTAACCTCCTCAACACAGAGGCCGGGATCGGGAAGAGGGACATAAAGTAAATAGGAAGTCTCGAAAGGGTGCTCTTTAGCAGAGTCTGACGCCCCCCTTTTGATAAATACTATTGGAAGGGCAAATGTGAGATCGTCATTTGGCTAAAGAGGTCTCTCCCAACCCCGAAACCTCTTTTATAATCCACTCACTTGCTCTCCTCGTTAGACTGAAAGTCTCCACCACAATGATGAAAAGAAATTTAGATAACAGATCCCCTGCCTTAAACCTCTCTAACCGCTGAAGAATCCTGAAGGGACACCATTTGAGAATCTCATCATGGAAACACAAAACTGGATCCATCCCCTCCATCTCTCCCCATATCCCATCCTCTCCAAAACATAAATCAGGAAATCCTAGTTCACGTGGTCATAGGCTATCTCTACATCAAGCTTACGCACCACCCCAAGCTT